TGATATTTGAGTGAGAATTTGAAAATTAGATGAAAAAAGTGTTAGATTTGTAAATAGCAATGTTTAGGTGGTATGCATGTAATTGCACGCACCTCACGAAGAAGCTTGAGGCAGGTAGCACACCCGCCGAGTCCCGGCCGTTCGCAATCGACCTCCAGACTTTCTGCCACGTCATTCGCCGGCACCCACATTCCCTCCCCTCCGCCGCCGACCACGAACGACCCGGAACACTGCAGTGGATGCAGCCCCACGCGGCACACACACGACACAGCCCCACACGTGTCGTTCGCTCCTTGGATCTCCACGCCCTGCTCCCTCAGCGCCGCCTCCGCCGCCGCTGCGCACGGCTCCGTTTCGCCGGGAAGGACAGGAAGCTCATTTTCGTAGGATGAATGCACATGTGCGGCGAGCGCCTCGGCCGAGTAGGCGGCTAAGAGCCACGCTGTCAGCGCCGGGCAGCAGAGGTCACCTCCAGCGGCCTGGGAACAAGCAGCGGAGATGCCGCGGAAGAAGTCGTCGGGAAGGTTGAGGTGGCAGGAGTCGGCAGAGCCTGGTAGCACCCGGGAGGAAGGGATGGTGGGCTGGTGGGCCGGAATTGGGCCGCCGGAGGGGAGGAAAGGAAGGAGGGAGGTAGTGAGGAGGAAGTGGAGGAGAAGGAACATCGTTTTGGATTTTCAGCAGCTGCAAGATTCAGAGTTGAGAGGAAGAGATGTAATGAGTTAAATTTCTCGGTTGGCTTTGATGTTTTGTCGGCGGCGCCATGGCTGTCCGAGTATATTGTAGGCCACACGTCATTTGTCATGCTTGATTAAATACAAAAAACAGAGGACGGGCGACTATGGGTAAATTATTGTCATCTTAGTTAGGAGAATAGGGTAGATTCGGAAATTTGTGATAGAAAAAGATGTAGCAAGAGCTAGTTATTTATTTATTCATCTTTTATGGAAAGAATTATGAGAAAATTTGTCTTAATTATTGTTGTTGAATCACCATTTGTTTTGTGAGGCATGCCTAAGTAAAGAAAATGGTAGGGACCTTGAGGGAGAGGGAGAGG